TGTGGTTGGAATGGATTGCATAAAAAAGCGAGCACGTCACATGGTGTTGTTTGCTTCTTGCTTGGATACTTGTGGTTTGTTTTATAGATGCAGATTGGAGTGGTCCACTCATAGTCTTCTTTGTGGTTAGAACATCTGGGGTGTGTATTATATGTTGATTGCTCTGTTTTATATGCTAATTGCTCCGATTTATGTGCTAAAGTGACTTGATTTATGCTAATTCCTACACCTTTATCCCATATTATACTGCTACTTTACGCTAGTGTTTGCTTTAGGATGTATTGTAGTGTCCTTTGCTCTTTGTTGAACTGTCATCGTTAGCCTATATAAACTATACAAAGCATTAACCATGCTATGTGCTTGGGTTCTTTGCCTTTTTATGCGGTGTGAAGCACAATGGCAAGTCCACCTTCCTTCGCTAGCTAGTATGATCCCAAGAATGATCCAACCCGGAAGCCACAAAAGACCAAGGATCCGGTGGTGGAAGTACGCCTCTTGGCCAAACCTTAGCAACAAGGATGAGGTAGCATGCACCTTGTGTGGTGGGAGTGTTCATGGAGGATAAAAGGTTGAAGCAACATTTAGTGGTGTGGCTTTTGAGATGCAAAAATTTGTCCTAAAGTGAGCAATTGAAATTAGGAAGGAGATGGCAGTTTTTTTGGAGGCTAACAAGAGAAGAAGACCTTTGTTCCTAGAGGGTGAGGATGGAGAAGGTATGGTGGAGGTGGCATCAAGTGGGCCTCCTGAAGTGAGGCACAAAAAATGAATCTTCTCAAGCCGCCAAGGTTCATCCTAGTTCAGGGACAGCCAAAAAAAGAAGGCAATCAACCATACAATTGAAGGTCACAGTAATAAGATGCATAAAGAAAAGACAAAGACCATTCTTTGAGATGCTTCAAAACACCGTAAGAGGTGGTAGATGAGAGATCGTTAGGTTCTTACCACCCCACAATTAATGTGCAAAAAAAAGCCGGGAGGAGAAGCATTATGTGGATATGCAGTGGGGGTTTGTTCTTCTATGAGTGTAGTGTACCTTTTCAATGCAAAGAACAAGAAGACAATTTCTAGATTGCGAATGGAGGCCACACTGTTTGGTTGTGGTACAAGCCTCCAACACCTTATCAACAGGGAGCCATTGCTTAAAGAGGTCATGGAAGTCAACAAGTACCATGAGGGAGGAGCATGAGAGGGCATGGAAACAAAGATGGTCTGCACACTTATGTGTCGATGGATGGTCCGATAGGAGGGACGCCACTTGATTAACTTCCTAGTGAATGCCCTGAGGGGACATACTTCTTGAGTCGGCTTGATGCATCAAGTGAAGTACATGATGCTAAGATGCTTATTGATCCGCTAGAGGAAAGAATTGATGACATTGGAAAAGACAAGGTTGTCCAAGTTGTTATGTAGATAATGGTGTTAACTTCAAGGCAAAGAAAGTAAGCTTTTGATGGAAAGGATTCCTACAATATTTTGGAGTCCATGTCTTTGCATAATCGCTTGGATCTCATGCTAGAGGAGATTGGGAACTTGCCAAGATTCAAGAAATATATTGCACGTGCAAGGCGTGTTACAACTTTCATCTATAGGCATGGGAGGATCCTTCATGCCATGAGGGAGAAGACAGTGTGGGGCTGATCTTGTGAGACCCGCAAGAACTCGTTTTGCAACTTCCTTTCTTACTTTGAAGAGTTTGTACAAGCACAAGGAAGCTTTGAAGGCTTTATTTCATAGTGAACAATGGATTGGGAATAAATTGGCAAAAAACCAAAGCAGGTCTAGATGTGCGAGCCATTGTGTTCTCTACAGTAGTTCGAACAAAGTTGAAGATTGCCTTAGAGCTTCAAAATTTCCACTTCTCATTGTGCTTAGGGTGGTTGATGGAGATGAGAAGCCAAAGAATGCCGTAAGTTCAAGCATTAATGAACCACGCAAAGAGAAGATCAATCTGAGCTTTTATACCATCCAAGAAAAGGTTGTTTGACAAGATCATGGAGATAATTGAGCGAAGGTGGGAAAAACAAATGGATCATCCACTCTATGGGGCTGCATTGTTTTGAACCTGTGGAAGCTCCATCCTCTCATAAGAAAAAATGATGATGCAAACTGTTGGACAGCTAAGAGGTTGCTTTCTTGATGTACTTGCAAGAATGGTGGAGGATGAGGAAACTAGAGACAAGATCAATGCTCAAGCCATGGATTATGAATTTCTTCGAGGAGATGCTTTTTTAAACAAAATGGCCCAGCAAAACCTTGAGTCTTTGAGCCCTCGTAAGTGTTGTGTTCTTCTCTTTAATGTCATCAAGTGTACATTACAGCAATTTAATTTCCACAAGCTAGCATTTTCAATCCCACCCTAACATATGATGCATTTGTTGTTCTAGTTGATTGGTGGCGTTCATATGGTGGCGTGCTATTGAGCTACAAAGGTTTGCTAAGCGTGTGGTCGGTCTTTGTGCTTCATCATCTGGTTGTGAGCGCAATTGGAGCACCTTTGAATTTGTGAGTTTTTCCCCATCACATCATCTCCTTGTCGTTTTACCAATATTTCAGCAAGCATTTTATTCATCTTTTTGGTGTATTGTGTTTCTTATTTTTGTAGATCCACACAAAGAAAAGGAACGGTTGTTGCATAAGAGGTTAAATTCTATTGTCTTTGTTTCCTACAACGGAAGATGAAAAACTAGGTTCCGTAAATTGAGGCGTAAGAAAGGTAAAGGCTTTGATCCTTTGGTTGTTGAGGAGTTTGATTGGGACAATGAGTGGGTCGACTCACTGCATGTGCCCCCTCATGGTGCTCGTGGGTCGTGAGTGTGACCTTACATGGGACCTTGTTGATGAAGCTATTGAGCATCGAGTTACTTCGTGGGCGTAAATTTACCAAGAACAAGCCCACAACAAGCGTGTATAGAAATTTCCGCACCTATTGGGGTTCGAGGAGGAGCTGGGTTCGTAAAATGAGGATGAAGAAAATCAAGATCCCTATGATGACGCATATGTGACAGATTGAGGATGATCCTTGTGATGCCAATGGTAGTGGAGGAGATGAGGAGGCAACAAACATCATTGGAGAGTTTGATGATGGCTATTGAGAGGAGGGATTTCAGATTTCCTATGTTGTTATTTCATATATGATGCGACTAGCAGCGCTACTAATTAAGTCATGCCATTAGAGACTAGTTTTTGGCTACTGAGACATTTCAGATTTGCTCTTTTGCTACTTCATATTGTGCACTAGTAGACTAGTACTCTAGTAGCACTACTTATCATCCTTATTATGGTCTAAAACTATGTATGTCTCGCTAAGAATTGGTAATATTAAGGTCTGATTTGCTTCTGAATTTTAGTGCCATTATATATTATGATATTCTTATGGCGTCTTTAGGCGTCCGCCTTGCTTTCGCCTAGGCGTCGAGGAGGAGTCGCTCACCTTTCGTCGCTTTTAACGCCTTTTAAACAATGTTGATATCTCAAAGCCCGTTTAACAAGACCTTTTATCATTCATAATGTTCATTTTAAGTGTCAGTATCCGAGTTCATATAATCTATTTAGCTCTAAGCTTATAACTCACTTAATCCAAGGAACATATTCAAATACTAATAATTAAGCACCTAGAATTTTTTCTTAGTTTTCAGTCAACTGTGTCAAAAGAATATTGGAATGGATCTATTACACAACTGATACACTATTTCATCTTAAACTCAGACCTGAATTACAACTGAGTATGGAGGTGGCATTTGAAATGTAACGCAGCATTGTCTTCAATACTGAAGTGTACCTGTTAGTGAAAACGATACTGTGAATGAAATCTGCAGTGAAATGCAATGAGATATAGGCTTATTGAGCAAAAGGAAAGTCATTTCATGCTACGTGTTTATGTTAGTCAAGCAATGATTCATGAATAATATAGTGCGTACAAAATATTAGGGTTCTAGTGTGCTACTGCTCTGTCTACTTTTTGTCTTCAAAATCTCATGCTAATTGTACCTTATTGTGTCTAAATATTCGTAAAACATATATAGAACTAAGATATGATTTGATGGCTTTATAGTCTCTTAGTGGTGTATGAATTCCATGACATGTGAAAAATTCTTTCATGTTCTGTTTTGTCTTCAACATGTTTAAATTTTCAGATTAAAATGGTTTATTTGCCAAAATATTAGCTTTTTATCTGCACAAGATCAGGTCCAACAGTGGTGTAAGACAACGTTGTGGTAGAATATGCCAATAGTACAATTAGCTTCAACTTCCATAAATGAGAAACTTCTCTTTTGTAAAAATACATGATCACACCTGATGCTTGTAAAATACATGATCACACCTGATGCCTTTCCTTCCACTTGGGGAAGAAATTCCTTTCCAAAATCTGAAATGTGTGGTCTCTCATTTCATCATTGGTAATGATCAAGCATTTGCATCTGATAGCAGCGTACAGCCAGTACCTGAACTACATGGCCGAAAATACAATCAGGAATAATTTATGGACAGCAATAATAGGGGCAAGCAAAGGTGAGGATGGCAGCAAGTAGCAAAAACCACTCTGCAGGCACAATCGCACAGATAATGAATATAAGTGATCTATCAAGTTGATAACAGATAAGTTTTTCTCTTAAATACACCTATAGAATTCAAAATTGAGTTTCTTTTTCTCTGAAAGACATAAACTGATACTTTTGAGGGAAATAGTGGAATTAATTAAGTAAATTCCACTGGGCCACCAAACTTGTTTGATGGTACCAAGAGGTTTGAACTAGTAACTCTAAACTGTAAAGTTTTGGTCACTGAACACATAAAATTCTTCATCTTATGTTATTACCAGGCTGGACCGGAATCTGAGGATAATCAGTGATGAGACAAAGCTGGATTAAAGACTAAAAGATATTAACTGGGATAGTGGGCATTACTTGTATAGGTATAAACATGGTAGCAGTTTAAGAGTTCTTAGGTGATCTACTTGAACCAACGGAACAAATTGGTGACTTTAATAATTCATCAAATGATTAATTCAATATGCAGAGGGATAGTTGCTGCAAAGAGTCATCCAAAATCGCATCAATCATCATTTGAGCCAGTAGGGTTGCATATGTTGAATTTGCTTGCTTCCACTTTTCTACCAACTTATGATGACCAGGTTTTTTCATGTGTTCTCCAGTGAGATGCTTGTTGTGTAAAACTATCAAAGGCCATTTTCTTGACCTTTGCCTTATTGCATCAGCAACAGCATTAACCTGTCCAGTTAAACAAGGATAAGTGAAAATAAGCATGCAAATTTTTTCACAATTAGAAGAAAGAAGAAAATTTAGGAATATAGAAGAAAGATGTAGCACAATATACATGCCTTACTCAAAGAAAGATGTCTCAGGCTAAACAGGCCAACATTGGCAGCATCCACAACTGCCTCAAAAGGCCCGTGTTTTTCAAGCCATTTCTGAACATGGAAAAGAGGGTCCAAAAGTTAAATAGATGATTAATGAGAGTTGAAGGATAAAGGTGCTCCAAGAACTAAATATCAACAACGTGGACCTCAACTTCACACATTATAAGCACAAATATAACCTTGCATACAGAAGCTATGAGCTAGGAATAACAAGCCAAATACGTATTTCTGACGATGAGGTTCACAATTGAAGTCCCAATCGAAATCATACTTGTCAACGATAGGTAAAATTACTTCAGATATGAAGGTAAGAAAATAATTACTTCTCCATTATAGTAGCAGGAAGCTTGCTGATAGATTTGATACAATGTAGAATTGAGACATTATAGATTATAGACAGATTTAACACACTGGTGTCATTTTTTCATTTTATTATTTACTGGATAATGTTCTGAGCATATATCATTTATTCAAAAACCAATACATCTGTTTTATTTTTCATCTAAGGCATTCATCTGCAGTCATCCCAATCAGTGGTTTTGGAAATATTTAACATAATATAATCTGTTGTATATGCAAAACTCTTTTGACTCATGCAACCTGGTAAACCAAAATATAAAAGATCGAGGTAGATAACCTGGAAGTTCTCAAAGTTCAAGTTCTCTCTCTTGATAGCTAATTTTGCCACAAATCTGGCAAACTCTTCTGTTTCTTTTGGGTCAAGATCTATAATAGCCAGCTTTTTCCACAAGCAAGGCAGACACCATTCTTGTTGATGTTTGAGCGTGTCACTGTCCATTTCTCCCCAACCAACCAAACCCATGCCAACCCCTCCATTATTCTCAATAGCCTTCGCTATAGCACCTGCATCCCACTTTTCTTCCCAACTTTAGATGCTGTTGGGCTCCGAAACCAAGCCTCAAACAATTCAGCTGTAGAAGGGGATACCTGTCTGACAGTAGTCCTAAACTTATGCAGCAAATAATATACCTGGTCTCCGCGTCGGCCAACCACACTAGCCCTGAGAAGTGTCTCCAACTCAGCTTCTTCCGGTGCGATTCCAGATTCCAACATATGGGCTTTTACTATCAAACGCTTTTTCAACATTACCACTGTTGCAAAATGCTGTTAAAGCAGGACCATATGAGCGCAACTTTGGCTTTAAACCCAGGTCTTTCATCTGTTTCACAATCTCAAAGGCCATGTCACTGTTGCCCATGGACAACGCCATACGTGCCTTTGCAGTCAGAGCAGCCTCACTCATTTGAACTCTCTCTCTCTCTGAGCACATTTTTCTCAAATATCTCAAATCCTCGTGCACATGCATACTCTCTGAGATCATCTCCTACTGGTATGCTAACTGGTTGTGTCTTCGAACCACCTGGAAGCAAACTGGCCTTGTTTTTCCCCAGATCTTGAACATGACCTCCAGATGCATCATCTCCCTCTGAACCTCCCAAGTTTCTCTGGTTAGAAGGACCAAGTTTCTGTGAAGGGCCAATACTGGCGATACCGCTGCCGGTATTACCACTTTTGCTGGCTGCACAAAACCAAGAGAAGCTGAAGAACACAGGTAAAGGAGCACATTGTAGTGATGCTGCCCCAACCTGATCCCCTCCTCAACTGTGGAATCATACAGAGCGATCGCCCCCATCACATCTCCTCTCTTGGAGCACATGTCCAGCTCAACTCTCAGCTTGCCTGCATGCTCACCCATCCTTTGATCTCTTCATTTTCTTACTCGCGTTTCTTCTTCCTGCATCCTCATCTCTTGAATTTCCAACCTTTCCAGATTCTTTTGCCCGCATTCCATTTCCGTCTCTAGTCCAGCGGTTCCCGCCCTGGGCCCCTCTGACCCCAAACTCCGCGTCAGTCCTCGCCTCCAGCTCTTCTCCTGTGACTCCCCCTCAGCACGTTCTGTAGAACAACCCTGTCCCCTTTCCTCCACGTCCTTGGCGCGCCACGGCTCCCTTCCCTCCACAACGGCGTACGTGCCTCCTGTGCCGTGGCGTCTTCTCGCACAGTTGACCCGTTTGTGCCACGCGGTGCTCCGGCTGGGCCTGCTCTGCTTTCCTCCGTTCCTGGGGCCTGCTGCCTCTGCTGGGCATTACGTCGAGCAGATCGCGGCCGTGGCATGATAGTGTAGGGACAAGGCACCGTGGAGTGACGACGGGAGGCGAGGAGGATGCAGAAAGAAGAGGAGGCAGCGGTGGTAGACGGTGGTGGAGAGGTAGGCCATGGCGGTCGCAGAGCTGCCATGGGTGCCGGAGGAAGCAAGTGGAACGAGGTTTTAAAGGTCGTTGGGAGTTGGGACGAGGAGATAAGGTTTCGCCACATGAAAAATACTATCGATCGATTTTACGCGGTAAAAATATTGTTTTTAGTCTATTGTAACACGGCCCCGAGAGTAGCGGAGACCCACGCGCCAAGCAGTTCACAAAGACGCTCTCTCGACCAACTACCTAAGCAAAGGCCCACCTACCACGCCCTGCACCTGTAAAGATGACGGTTTCTCGATCGCTTGCCATGGACGCTGCCGGGTGATCTTGGCAGCCTCGCCCCGGAGAGCTCAGAGGCGTCTCGGGCGGAGGGGCGGAGGCCGCCTTTGCTGCAAGGCTAATCATGCCAACGTTACTACGGTGTGTGCAGTAACTGCAGGAAGGCGCCAGGGATTCTGGTGCAAGGCCTTGGCCTCGCCTCCGCCAGAAGAGGCAGAGACCCAAGCAAAAGGATGGCACATCGACGTCGGGGGTGTGCGTGCCTCAAGGCCCCTCGGGCGGAGACCGACGTATGGAGGTCCAAAGGCCCGTCGCCGAATCTCGAGGAGGCTTGATGGGATTACTGATCGCGTGAGGCCAAAGACCTAAGGGCGGCATGACAAGATTACCCCCGAGAGGAAAGGCGAGTAGTGGAATATTCCGAGAATGTACTGTAGCAGTTGAAGGGTACTATTGTAAACTCTATAAAGTGGTAGTTGAGCCCTATAAATAGGGGAACACTCATAATAAAGATGGGAGGTTGGTGAATGAATTAATGAAACCCTAGTTTTACGTGTTATTTCCCCACACGCCCGCTTGTCGTGGTCTCTGTTTTCAGAGCCTCACCGAGGGCGCAAATACATGCTGGAGGCTCCACCTCCTCCACATTGTCTCGAGACCGCAAGTCCCAACATTAGCACTCCACCGTGGTTTGGCCAAGGCAAACCAACGGCGATGTGGAAAAGAAAAACCACCACCAGAGCAAAGAACGACCACTTGTCGTCGAGGAAGGCCTGCAAGATCACTCAGAGCACCACGCGAACCTTCGCCAAATGGAGGATGACACCAGAGCGGATGCCTGTGGTCAACCACCGGAACCCCAAGATCCAGAGGCCCAACCAAACTCACCCACAACACTCGAGCAAGAATCAGCAATACTGCAAAGCACGCTTGCAAAGAGCGCAACAAGAGAGGGATAGAATGGCAAGAAAGACTGCAGCTTAATCGCTAAGCTATTCAAGGCCAAGACAAGCGAGAATAAAGCAGGCAAGCCAGCTATGTGCCCCACATGCCGAGATGCTAAGTATGCAAAGATGCGCATCAACATCAACCTCCGCGAATCCCAAATTCTCCGCAAAGAACACCAAACCGCAACTATACCATAAGGGCCTCGCTGTTGATCACCAGCCCACGATGCCATCTCAAGTGATGCGGAGGCCTATCGATCCCAAGTCCCTACTCTTCAAGGCATACAACAGCCGCGCCATGGCAAGCGGCGCACAAGCCAATCACACTACCAAAGTTCAACGGAAAGATGCACTTCCCATTAGTTCATTATGAGTTACGAGGTAGCAGATAGCTCTCCGCGCGGAGACGACATTGCCTTGGCAAAGTCATTTGTCATTGCGTATATATGACGCTGCTGGTTTGGTATTCTATATTCAAACCAAGCACGCCTATTCTTGAGAGAACCTCCGGATAAGATATTGGCAAACTTCAAGGCTAACAAAGATACTGGCCGACTTCCACAGATTTGTTGTAAGCGCCAAGCAAATGCAGGGAGAGACACTACACGACTACTTTCAAAATTTCAAGCAACTAAAGGCGAAGGCACCAGACGTCCTGCATTTAGATTGCCATTGAAGCAATGATCAAAGGCCTCCGAATCGGGCCATTCGCAAGACACCTAGCAAGAAAGAAACCAACTTCCATACAAGCTTGTATGACGAAGTTTAAGAAATACAGCAGATCGTAACAATGACCTCCTAGGAAAAGGTCAAGGAGCAGGTGGTCAAAACAGACAAAGAAAAGCAAGAAAAAACCCACACAAAAGCTATGTACGAACTAGAATGCATCAAATCAAACTGTGCCGGGGGCAAGTGTTTCAAGATCGAGGGTCAACCTTACCTCAACAAGGGCAACTAGCAAGACCAAATAGGCTTGAGACCTAGACTAGGAACCAAAGGTCGACAAGGTTACCAAGGCAAAAACTAGAACAAAAACCACAACCCGTAAACAACGCAGCTATATTATTTTTTCACATTTAAAGCGCAGCAGTGGCACAACACCAAAGATTGTCCGGAGACAAAAGAGACACATGAAAGGATGAAGAACAAACAGACCGCCTAACCTCCGGCTACATACGTAGAGAGCGCAAGAGAGGTCAACACCACCTACATAAATGGCCACCAGCAAAGATCATTTAATCTACCCAAAGCTAAACGCAAACCAAATACATCCCTCCACACTAGCCTCTCGCCTTATTACCCAAACTTCCTACCAAGATGGATGTCAGCCGGGCCAGCAAAGAGTTTCTCCCAAGGGTAACTTACAGTCCCGAGGCAAGTTCGACCTACTTAAACCCAAAATCTCACCACATAACCCACTCAAACAAACCCATCGCCACAAAACCAAAGTGTGTTCGAGCTCACTGCAGAATAAAGAAAGACATGCAAAGAATCCTCCCTCCCGCCACCTCACAACCAACCACCAACACCAAAAAAATGTGCCAAACCCGTAACACCAAGTCAACCCCCACGGACCGCTACCCACAATAGGCATGATACTACCAATTGTCGGAGGATCATCAATGGAGTTTCAAATGAAAAAGCGTAAAAAAGACCACCTCCTACGGTAAACAACGAGCGCCGGTACCAAGGCCCAAAGAAAATACATGATTGGTCTAGAGTCCCAATCACCTTCATAGAAGAAGATCTCCAACTAGAAAGCTACCCTCACATGATTTAATGGTAGTCAAGACCAACATAGCAAGATGGGAGATAAGCAGAGTAATCGACGACATCGGCAGCTTCAACAGATATCATCTTCGCAAATACCTTCACCAAATGAAGCTTCAAGAGAAATCAATTGACACCCTCCAATCCCTTTGATAGGATTCGGAGGCAAGTAGATACAAGCATTAGGAAAAATCTCGCCCCAAAGGTCGCTTTGAAACCCAAGCAAATGTTAGAACCGAGTACATAACCTTCGGACGCCCCTCGATCTATATTACCCATACAATGCCATCTTGGGTAGAGGATTCACGACTAAATTCAACGTAGTCTCAAGATATGGCCTACCTGCGTGCATGAAAATACCAAAGACTCCATGGTATTATCACCGTCCGAGGCAGCCTTAAAGAAGCAAGAAACATAGAAAAGCAATCTACTGAGCCCAAAGAAACATCAATGCAAATGAAGCCTGGCAGATAAAGAACTAGAGCCTCCGGATATGCCCAGAGGAAAAACAGATATGGCAGGTCAAGAAGAGACAAAGGTGACCCCTCTAGAAAAGGAGTTACGTACAGAAAAGTAACAATCACCAGAGTTGAGCAAAGTAGAGGAGGAAGAGCTCATGAAAACTCTAGTAAAAAACAAAGACATTTTACCGGTAGGCCTCCACCCATGAGAGAGGAGTCAAGCAGGACATCATACAAAGATGAACTAGGTATCAATGAAAACATGAGGTCAAGAAAGCAGAAACAGAGAAAAATGTCAGAGGATAGGATCTAAATAAGGTGCAAAGGTTGCTAGATGCAAAAGTCATCAGGGAAGTTAAGTATTCAGAATGGCTTGCAAACGTAGTACTGGTACCAAAGAAGAATGGTAAAATGAGAATGTGCATAGATTTCACAGATCTGAATAATGCTTACAAAAAAGACCCTTTCCCATTGCCAAGAATAGATGCCTCACGACAAGGCAGCCAGATGCCGAGGTTTTCTCCTCGACTATTTCTCTGGGTATCACCAAATCTAGATGAAAAAAGAAGATGAAGACAAGACAAGTTTCACCACTCCATTCGGGACATATTGCTACACCAGAATGCCGGAGGGCCTCAAAATGCCGGAGCAACCTTTGCCAGAATGACAAAGGAAGTTTTGGGCTCACAACTAGATAGAAACATCATAGCCTACATCGACAACATAGTGGTCATGAGCAAGAGCAAGGATGATCATGTCTCCGACTTATAGGAGACCTTCGCTAACCTCAGATAATACGGGCCTCCTACCAACCTAGAAAAAATGTATATTTGGAGTTACAAAAGGGAAGATGCTCTGATACATCATAAGCAAATAAGGCATCAAAGCAAATCCAGATAAAACCAGAGCAATAATGACAATGACAGTAACCCAAAAACAAGAAAGACGCAAAAGTCGACGGAAGAATAGCAAATACCAACAGATTCATCTCAAAATCAGCAGTAACGCAGCCTCCCTTCTTCCAAGCCCGAGGAAGAAACAACTTTGAGTCTGGGTCCAAGCAATCGGAGGCATTTCATAACTTGAAAAAGTATCCGACAAACTCATTGGTGGTCTCCATCCCAGAATCGACAAACCACCTATTGCTATATGTATGCCTCCACCATGCACTCATAAGTAGTCTTAGTTCACGAAATGGAAAAGAATCGTGCAAAACTCAAAAACCAGCTTTATTTTTATCTTAGAAGCACCGTCTTCGAGCCAAGCTAAACTACACCGAGGTAGAAAAGTTGTTTCACGCAAAGGTCGATGGCATCAAGAAAACTAAAGCATTATTTCTAAGCCCACGTAAATCTCGGGGCCCAACATCACGCCATCGCAAGACTTGCTTAGAAACAAAGAAGCCTCCAGCAGAATAGGCAAATGGGCTACAAAGCTATCATAGTTTGGTATCTCAGATGTCCCTAGAATAGCAATCAAATCACAAGCACTAGTCGATTTTGTAGCAGATTGACACCTCCGACAGAGCCCAAGATACAACCAACCACTCAAGATCGGATAGCA